TAGCACGTGGTACCAGGTTCCAAAGGACCTCGGCTGTTAAGAGATGCTGTCATTGCAGGCTATATCACCATCCTCTCAGCGAAAGCTTCAACATACCCTGTCTTCCTGTCTATTCACCAGACTTGCAACCATGGACCATCTTCACACGGAAGAGAAAAAAAAATTCTTGATTCCTTGTCTCTACAGCGGTCCTGTCAATAAAATTAAAACCATTCAAGAGCTTCTAGACTTCGCCAGGCAGCCTGGCGGTGTATTGAGTAACCACGACCAAGATCCCCAAACGGGTCGATGTTCGGCCGAGTTAGTTGCCCGGTTAATTCAAAAATCACCATATTTTGGACTCCTTAGTCTTATACTTTCGCTCCAGGACATGCATCTCCAAGTTTCTGCATTTATTCGAAAGTCAGATGAAGGCGACCAACTCATCACGTCAGAATCGCTTCCTTCCACGTTCAACACCTGGCTGACTGCTGAGACAAGTCGGCTGGACAAAAGAGATGCAAGGTTAAACCGATTCAGGATCTTGGAAGAGGGTTGGAACTTCTGCGCGGAGGTGATCAGGATTTTTGCGTACAGCATTGAAACAATGGAATTACCTTCCAGGGTCTTGGTCTCAATCCAAGCTTTGACATTCACCTTTCAGAAGTTGATAATTTCGAAGTTTCCAACATATGCATGGCATCTTCTGCAGCCGCTCGGCGAAGGCCAGGTTCCATTCCATCACCTTGAAGCTTCTCAATGGTGTAAATACGACATAGCCCGCATTCAAGGATCTTGTGACATCTCAGTCGCGTATTACTGCAACACGAGGCCGGCACCAAGGCAATGGCTACCGCATGAAGCCTGCTCCGCATCTTCATGCAGCGCAATGAATATTGACGATGAGGAATATCAGACAGCACACACTGAAATAGCTTGTGCCTGCGAGTTTATTCAAATCCCATTCGAGACTTTACACACCATTGTGAGAAATGTCAAGGCGCCTCTCGTTCAGTACTATGCACCAGAGAACCAATTAGATCGTGGAAACCTGACTGTCCACGAAAAGCAGGAAGAAGTTCATGTTGTGTTCTCCCACGTTTGGTCCCATGGCCTTGGAAACGTTGGCAACAAAAGTCTGAGAAATGCGCTCCCGTCGTGTCAACTGGATCGGCTACAAGGCATCGCCAATATGGCATTGACAGTCTAACAGAGGTCCCGTTCCATTCTACATCGACACCCTTTGTGTCCCAACAGAAAAGTCGATAAGGAAGAGCGCGATTCGGAAAATGCATGACATTTACGTTCCCGCTGGCCGAGTCGTGGTTCTTGACAGAGCGATTGAATCGCTCACTGAAGAGCACAACTTAGAATATAAATGCAGCACCATGCTCTTTTCTGGCTGGATGACTCGGTTGTGGACATATCAAGAGGGAGTTCTGAATGAATCACTTTTCTTCAAATTTCGCGACACTTTGCCCGACTTCAACGATTTTCTAGATTCTACATCAAATCAAGCGCTGTTCAACCTGTTGACGAGTTATAGCCCATTTCCCGCTCTTTTGGCTTTACTCGGCAGAGAGTTAACCATATGCGCATGCTTCGAACAGCAGTCGTCCCAGCACAACACACAGTCGAACTTGCTGCTCTGGCTCTAGGGGTCCGGCAGCGAACCACAAGCCATCTTGAAGACGAAACCGTTGTTCTCGCAAGCATGCTAGGCTTAGACGTCGCAAATTTACTTGATTTGACTGGCCCGGACCGAATGAAATGACTACTTCGGACTATACGCAAGGTCCCAGTGAGTATCTCGGTTTTCTCTGCTGATCGTATGGAGGAACACGGATATCGCTGGGCCCCAAAGCCCTTCATTCGTATTAGCAATTTTGACACTATACAGCCCATGATGGTTCGGGTGCACCTGCGGTTTCCGCAGAACTTTTCAGCGCCTTCAAGCTCCTCTGCCACAAATCACTATGCAGAAGCTCTTGACAATAGGACATTACGTGTCTCATCTGGTTTCGTGTTACAACGTCATTCATGGCAAAGACAAGCCGTAACGAGATTCTGGGCCATGTCACCAGAAGAAAAAGAGGAAGACGGAGTTGTACTTCCGAGAACAATTTTTTACGTATCATTCGAAGAGGATAAAAATGGGATACCAGCCCCTCTAGATGCAGATTGTGCTGTCCTTATACCAGTCGAAGACCCAAGGTATGAACAGGCTGGCTATAGTGTAATATCAGCATTTATCGCCCTGCCAGCCGATGTATCTGGAACAATGTACCCTGGCCTGCGGGAATATACGTTTGCACTGGGCCATGATCCCACATTTGAATGCAGTTTTTTTGCAGAGTCAAGATTTATGTTTTTAAGGATGTCTATAGTGCAGTTGAACATAGCACTGACGACGAGCTTATCAAAGAGGAAATGCCACAGGCGTTGGTTTGTGAACCTTTCCCTGCAGTGGCGTGGCTAGTTTCATGATATTATCTATGTCAATATGTTCATGCAATTTAACTGCGGCTCCCAAGAGTACCTTGGCCATCTAAGCGACGCGATGCTTCGATGAGTCACGGATTTGACCCATCACGGTTGGCAGCTATGTATGTCATTGAATGTGGACTTGGTCCTCAATTGTAACCATCTATTGAAGAAGTTGAGGCCTTTTTTAGAAGTAGACATCGAAAATGAAAAGGCTACTTTCTAATTGAACAGGAGGATCGTGGCTGTTGGGCGTTGTCTCCTGATGTGAACCTTGGGGATAAAAAGGCCCGGATGACTCATTTCTTGATGTGTGAATTAGATGGCGAACTCGTTGGCATGAGTATTTTTGCATTTTCTCCAAAGGCCACTAGTTAGAATGAAGAGAAAAGGCTCATCAAGTCTACTGGCACAATGTTACACGGTCAAACCTCAACAAACGCCCAACAAAGGGCATCGCCGACATAGTACTAGAGGCTACACAGACTGAGCACATGACCCGGTGGAAGCCTTGAGCACAGCCGTTCCTTTCATGTATATATAGTGGTCACTTATCCCTTCCTTTCTCCTAGAAATCAAGCACCTTTGACATCCTACAAGGTTATTATTGAATAGAGTCATTCCGCTCCAAGCCCTTGATATCAAGCCCTTGTCACATACAAAGAATGCTTTCTTGCGCTGCGCTCCAACTGATACTCAATGTGGCATGCTCGATTGCCAGTTAGATCCTGAATCTATGCGAGTCAGTGGTGAAGTTACTTCTTCAGCTGATAAGCGACCTACACCGCGAATTTAATTTATCGTCCACCTCAAATGGGAAGTATGTTGAGCAACTCCAGGAGAGCCATGGGCTGGTTCATTAGTTCTGTGGTATATAAGGGGTAGCAGTTATCTGTGGTTCTTCAAAACAATCAAGCCTAGCCCACACAAATATCGTCCTGCCGGACGATATGCGCGCGATATTTGCGCGATATCAACTCATGAGCATGAATAGCTGGAAACGCACCTGCCTACGATCGACAGTAGCTTCATAATTCTAACTGTGCTGTGCTTTGAAAAGCAAACAAAAAAAATATCAAGGCGAAGATAAAATCCCTCAGGCTAAGCCAGCAAGCAAGGAAGGGTGGCAATTGCGCTGCTAGCTCAAGAAGCCATTGTTCATTGGCTTGACATGCAGGAGAAGCAATCGACGGAACGGCGCATCAGCAGTGTCGTTTCACAACATGGCCCGCCTTTAGGCATTGATCATGATCGACTTTGGGCGGTGGCGACGTTGGGCTCACATTCACTGTATTGCCACCGGCTGAGGTTCGTCTACTTCAGCAATGTACAGTACACGCGGCTCCCTCAAAATGCTATACAAAACCTAAATCTTGAGCGATTCGGCTCAAGTAGCTTGTAAGTGTCCAGGCCGACCAGTGTCTCCAAAGTTCCCAATGGCGTTGCATACCCATCTCCAAGGATAACCTACGCAGCAATATTCAAACTGGTAGCTGCTGCTTACCGGGCTCGTATCTGAACTGGGGATATGGTCTTGGGAGGTAGTAATCACAACACGGCTACAGTGAGGCGGGGGTGACTGAGAGTCCTGTATATGTAAAGGACATGCGTCGAAGCGAGAATGTAACATCAACGCCATTGCCGCTCACATTAGAACCAACGCTGCGTCAGCGTCAGCGGCTCAACGGGATCAGCAACAAGTCTAGAACTCAAATTTCTCGCCAATCTGTCGTCAGTTATGCAAGCGAGATGCATCAGTTTGAAAAAAATGGCACGACAGCTTGTTAGAGCCCTAGATGCCTAGCTTCCAATGCAGCCTTCCGTATACATGCGAGTATGCTAGCCCAGAAAGACATTTGCCACCATGTCTCATTCGCTGACTGGGAATCTCGGCTCTGCGAATGAAATTTGCGTAATAAACGAAGGCATGATAGAGCTTCCATGATATTCTAGTCAAAACAGGAGGCCTGATCCAGCCAGCCGACTTCATTGAAGTGGATGGATGCAATCCCATAGGCCGGAAGTCGTTACGTGACTTCTTGAATCATTGAAGTATTGTGGGTTAGCGGCCGGGTTTGGCGTCCGTGGTGCCAGCAGAAGTAGAGTCAAGGACCATCTGCGTTACTCCTCACCGGCAGTTGAAGCTTGAAAGAGGCATGTTTTGGCCACACGGCCCGGTCTACCAATGTCAGAATCGTTTGCTCTAGCATTGGATTGATTTTTACATAAGTCTCTAATGGTCGGACTTTCCGCATGATATGGCTACTTGTTTCAAACGGTGTTAAATTACAGCATCTCCTAGTTGAATGCATAACTTGTGGATTGCTAGTCTGACATCGTTACTCGCAGGATACCAGCCCGACTAGACGACAATACAGCGACTGCCTTTTTCAAGGATGTGGGAGCAAGTGTACAAATTCATGACTAGTACATGCCACCTTAGTATTTGGGTATGATGTAATATCTGAAGAACCACAGCAAACTGTGTCAATACCATGACCCTCCAATCTGTTTCCAACCCAACCCAAATACACAAACTATTTCGACCAAATTTCCACAAACTTCTGTCCAATAATCTCCTCTCGCTCAAGGTCATCACTCGGTAGCTCCCACCATCGCGTTTCCCAGTCTATGAGTGGGCCGTGGAAAAACTCTTCCAGAAGCCGCTTGCCGCACTTGGGATACTTCATTTCCAACTCCATAGATGTCCACATGACCTTTGGTGTCGCAAATACTCCACTAGATCCCTCATCATTGCATACTTCAATCGGGAGACCCAGCGCTTCTGGTCTTCGCGGAGCTGCGGCGATGATCATGTTGTGAATCATACCAATGCCACCAACGAAAAGGAGATACCACTTGCTTGAAGTTATACCAGCACAAGATATTAAAAGAGCCAGCCAGAGTATGACCAGCGCCAGGATCCAGCATCTCGTCAGCCATGGGCTTGAGCTCGGCGGAGAGGCACGCCCAGCAGCTAGCGCCTCGAGGTCAGGGCATTTGGATCATCAACTTGGCCTTTGATGATGATGACATGCTGTGACCCATTACCGCGTGTCAGTGCAATGGCTTTGGTCTTTTTGGCGTGCTGTATCCCCCACTTCTCCTCTCGCCACTGCGGCATGGCCAGGAAGACATATGCGAAGAGAGACCCGGCAGCCGTAGCCAGGAAGATAGCCCAGTTGCCGTACAAGAGTATTGGGATGGCTGCTATGATGAGTTGGAGAGCCGTAACTCCGTATCCACTCCACCAGTAAATGTCACGTATGGAGACTCCAGGTAGAGATTTCTTGCGCCAGCGATATACGGCGACACATAGGCCGCCGCGTCGTGAGACGATAGGTGCTGAATCTGCACCCGATGTCGTTTTAGGGGGTGGGATGTTTCCTCGCACCTCTTCTGGCATCCACGAGCCGTATGCCTTGACAAGACGACTGAGAACCCAGGAGGGGTTTTGGCGGCCGTAACCGGAATCAAGATTAATCACCTTGATGTCTATCTCGGGCGGAGATAGAAGCGGGCTGTCGCTGATCGGGGATCGCAGAGCAGCCACGATATAACTGACCCAGCCAAAGGAGAAGGCAAGGGGCGTTGGTGGAAATCGTGGTCCTCCTGTGACGGCGGAGCAGGCGAGTTGAATCACATCGCCTCCGATGATGAGCAGTATAGTAAATATACTAGCCGGATTGCTCCATTGAGCAAGGAACTCGCGCCCAGGGCCCTCGATCGGTCGAGAATTTGATTGAGTGACGTCGTAATCGTTCAGCGGCGCCATTTTTAATACTTTCCGGCGTTACTCATTTCAGGGGACAGACCAGCGTAGTTATCATATATGACTGATATCAACGTTGAGCATTTGAAGTACACTCCAGTCCAATATGCCGCTAGTCATCTGCCTTCTTGCTGAGATAATTTCCGATGGCTGAAGGCTGTGTATCGAACACAGCAGGATTAACAATACATCCTGGACAAAAGGCAACTGCATGTGGTCAGCTGTGTGAGTGCATAGTCATTTCCGACCAATTTCTTATCAAGTATCCAATCAAGTAGAGTAAGAACTCCTGCACGTAGTACATCGATGGGGGTATTTCCTGTTGGAATAATTAAGCGGCTTGCATGCTGTCACGGCCAGGAAGGTTCCGACGTGGCACCAGGGCCAAGATGCTTGTCAGATCTTTCAACGGACACCCACTACTTTTCTTCCAGGGATGAAACACTTATGCATTCGACCTGCATTTCTTGGACTTGGTACGCAGCCGGGAACAATGTTTTCGGGGCATAGTCCTATGAGTTTGGTCATTATTCGAGGGTAATGGCTTACATGATACTCAACTGTAGCCCAAATCCTTTGTCGGGGGCAGGTTAGGTAACCCGGTCGGAGCAGCCCCATTTTGATACACAATGTTCTATATATGGCCTGCCAAGCCATTACATGGCGCCTCACGTACGAAAGTGTGGCAAGAGCTCCTTCACCGGTATTGTAAGCTGCTCTATTAGCGTCTTTTATGTTGTAACAAGTAATCACGCACACAATTATCCTTCTTTTCGAATCCAGCTTATTGATACTCTCCCAGTTTATGCAAGTTCAAAATGGCCGACACCAAAGATCAAACAAGCCCTGCATCTTTCCCATCATTTATTGATGAGGACCTGCAGCACCAATATAAAGCCAAGAACATATCCGACGGCTCACGAGTAATTTTCGAAGTGAAATTTAGAAGACTTCTCAGAGCATAGCTTCGATATTGAAGATACACCGAACCCTTACCTGACTAGCTTCGCCTTGTCGATTTACAGTCTCCCTTGAATAACGGCGCGTTGAATGTACAGCAACTTGAAGAAGATATCGAAGAGGATAGTAGAGTACCTCTAGCTCAATCATCTTTTCATTATGTAGGCTTTCAAGGCCAATAAACCGTGGCAGACTGTCCTAACGTTCCAAATTTACCGGCTTTGTCATGCGTGTGTCATCCTGCCCTAGGGCGTACGATGTCTCGTACGTCTCGACGAAAAAACCTAAAGGATCCATCGTGCCTTAACATTACAGGAAGCAATGGCGTCGCACTGGTTTCCCGTAAATGGGACCATTTAGGCTTCGTACGGACGACGAGAGTCCGGGAGACATACTACCGCTGTCGCTCATCATTGATGCCTGCACCACCGGCAGTCCTGCCATTGAGAATAACGATAAATGGCTGATGTTGGAAGAAAATTTCGGCTCGTACCAAGGGGACATGTCGTACAAAGAGCTCCTGTTTTGGAGTTAAACACGTAGGGTGCTGTCTCTCAACGTAAGTGCCCTCGCCCACATCATGTCGGATCCTGACCAAGACGAGAAGCATCTTCCGTATGGCAGAGTTCATTCATGCGCGGTCCAGCCCAGCCTGTTGATATGGTGCTTCAAGAGGCGCTAGTTGTCATGCCTAGAAGTTCGATAGCCAGTGAAGGGTATATCTCCTTCACTGCAAAAGCGGTTTACGTTCAGCCTCTCCCAACTTCATGAGCGCCTTGTTCTCCTCACCGTCAAATATCAACTCATTTTTAAGCCTTCGACGGCTCAAGGTGGAAGAGTCGAGAGAGTGCCAATCATAAGCACCAAGAGTTCTTCGCAGTACTTGTTGGCTTTTTCGTTGGTTACTGACCCGGGAGCGCACCTGCGCACGATGCGAAAGATATTCGCTCCATGTTCTTCAAAAGACAGCAGAATGAGAGTTTTCATGCGCTGTCGTACCTCGTGTTCAGCAAGAAGGCCAGGAATTGTGTTCAAGCTAGACCGGAGCGAGAATTCGCCGTTGGAACTTGGCCGCAAACATGTAGACGCTGAAGTGAAGAGACCGGTCGACCTCGCCGCCACAGAGCATTATCTTGAATCTTGTAGAAGGCGCTTCTATTTTGCAGCTTTTGACTTTGATGGCACGAATGAGTGCGGCGGCAATGCCGAACGTTGAATATGGGAAGTCTGCGGTTGACTGTCTCTATCACAGCCACAGTTACGTGGCCGAATTTCCGGGATTGTTCGCCAATTTGGCTGGCAAATCATCACTGGACCGTTTCATACGAACATTGAATCTTTTTCATCACGCCATACAAGTCGCCAATCACACCTATAAGGCCCAGAAATGTGTCACTCCACCACCAAATTACGCCCCCCAGGATACCTCAGCCGTTACGGCTGATCTATTCATAAGGTTTGTGCTCAAGACTCTCGGATTTGATGCAAAACTGATACTAAATATGCTAGTTAAGGACAAGCCGAGTTAGTTGACCAATCAGAGAAAGTCTCATGCTTGATTCTTTGGTGTTGCATCACTTGTCACACATATATTGTGCGACTCCTTAAATTCTACCGCCAGATGTACCAAGATCCCCCTCACACCTGAAGTACTGTCAATGCCAGTCAACAGAATAAACCTTAGGTGGATGTAGTCCTCAAGCACTAGCTGTTTCAAAGTAAATGAAATCATTTGATTTGGTGACGACTTCCATAGTTATAGGCAATAAGTATTTGCCCACTGTTTGGCATAGAGTAACGTCGGGGTGGGCACATACTAATTACCTCCCACCGCCCCGTTAAGCAAATTGTTTCAAGTTTAAGCGTGGGTTTGCATGATTCTGCGCTCCTCCGCGGGTCTTGTCGCCGAGGCGCTGTCACGCATAGGTGCAGTTCTTTTGCTGCCACAATCTCAAAGGTCTTCGTCTCCCCTCCCTAACTATTTCCCGGACCATTTTCTAGTGATATATCGCTCCATCACATATATGTGCCTTTGCGGAAGTCGTGGCCCTGTGGTTCTACGCCGGTTGGTTCCGATGCTGCCCGACAGGCTGCGGCTTATGCCATGGTCGTATCACCGCCGGGATTACGCAGGAATTTCCGGAATGAAAGGCGCTTCCTTGTGCGTCAACGGTTGCAGGGGCTGTCTTGGGCGAAGAGCCGTGACGACACAGTCAGAAGCTGCCGGCGTGACCAGCACGGGCGGCGATGATACAAGTGATGTAGGGCACCATTGACAATTGATAGTCGGCCCTGGCAGGTCTCGGTGGCAGAGCCGATTTGTGCTTGGCAATCGAGGTAGTTGTATTCCCTGCCATCAAATGGCACCAGTTGACGTGTTAAGATCGGCCGAAGCTTGCACATATAAGCCTCTTGTTTTCAACCCACCGGGCGGCAACCAAAACTCCAGATTCTCAAGTACAAATGCCTCGTTAATGGGCTCAGCGCTGCTTACTTCCTTACGGACAGGAATTGACCCCGCCTGCCGGGCTCGGGGGGTAGATATCAGTTGTTGCATGGCCCTGGTTGTGATGCCGATACCCAGAGGTAAGCGGCCCAGGATATCTAGTCTCCAAAATAGACTGCGCTATGCATTTCCAACATGACAATGCTAATGCTATATATACAGTAATTAGTCTGATGCATTGCGCGATATTCAACCAGACCCCTAACCCGGTCGCCAAGTCTTCAGTCTTCCCGCGGTTATGCGCAGAACCAAATCAGACAGAGAATCTTCCCTGCAAGCAAACTGACTAGCCAGATCCACTGCGTCGCGCTTAGCATAAAGGAGAGCAAAGCACATGCCCTCAATGGTGTAGTCATAGCAGAAGCCGCCCAATGAAAACGGAGGGTATCGCATTCGAGCTCATAGCCTAGCACCTACGCCCAAGACAATATACGTAATATATATGAGTTAGCTTGCTCCTCAGTAGGCAAAGACTTTTGATATAGACCCCTTTGGCTTGCCTCACCTTGTTGACACGCGCCTTATTCATGCCAATTATGCACCTACCACGTTTGCTAACAAGGTTTCTGGCACCGGGATCGACCCGACAACAGCTAGGTAGACGCAGAAGGTAGTTTCGAGACTGTAGCGCGGCATGTTTCGACTGTCGTCGTGCTGACTCAAGTCCCTGACGCCGCTTGGAGATGCTTATACAGGCGGAATCAGACGACCAGTTCAATGCTAAATACTGCCATTGAAGAATATATATATTGTCCAAATGTTCTGCTTCTAGACTTAATGTCTTACTACTTTGCCCATATCATAAGAACGATACTACCATTCCTTTAACACGATTACTTGACTACTTGTCAACCACAATGTTTGGTGCCGCTGTCACCATCCTACTCTCGGCGGGTCTGGGAGCTATCGCCGCCGCTGTGCCGGCTGCAGTCGGGGGCGATTTTAACGTCACTAGTCCCCAGCTCTATCCCGAGAAGTGTGTATTCGACCAGAAGCGAACTGTTCTGTACTGCAGGTATGACTAGAACACAAAGGCTCCTAATATCACCCGCTGTATGCTACGAAACTGATCCATCTAGTGAGCTGTACGAATCCAAGATTGCGGTGATTGACTTGAAAACGAATACCGTCGTCAAGACTATCGACTTTCCAGGACTTTCTGGAAATGCAGACTACCACGCAAGTGGTATCCTGCTTCAGGGCCCAGACCGATTGATATCTTCGATCAACACTGGTGCAGCATTTGAAACCACGGGCAGGAATATTTCTGGGACCAACTTCCTCCTCATTACTGACTTGGAAACTGGCCAGGAGAAGGCACGGGTTGATGTTACTGCTGTGACAAAGGGGGCCTACGGAGGGCCACAGGACTTCGCAGTCGATACCTGTGGCAACATTTATGAAGTTTTTACTTACCCAGGCGCCATTATCAAGGTGACGCCCAGTTTGAAGGTCATTCCTTGGCATTTAAGTGGTGATACCAACGCTACCAAGACGGGCTTCACCGGCATTGTATCCAACGGGAATCTTTTGCTCGCGAGTAACCAGCAAAAGGGTGGTACACTAGTGCGCTTCAATGCCGGCGATGCAACGGGCCAGCCCTTTGAAGTTCCCATTGCAAACAACGAGAAGCTTGGCGACGGCCTCGATGGCATCTCTCTGCCTGCCAAGTATCAGGGCACCGTTCTTCTGGTGACTACTAGTCAGGGAGGAACCAGTGTGTTTCGATCAAAGGATGGTAAATGGAACTCGGCCGAGAAACTCGGAACCGTACCCAACCCTCTCTTGGATAAACAAGGGTTTTCTACGATAGCTTTTGACCGGGAAGATCGTATCTATTCCGTCTTTGAATGGTTTTTGGATTCAAGGCAGCCTCCCAATCTGAATGGTCTCTCTGGCAACCGAACTGTGTTTCCTTTCCAGGATATCACGGACGCTGTTGACAAGCTCGTGCAGTAAGGTAGCACTGAGGCGCCGCGAGCATGTCAAGGGCGGAATTGTCCTGGTTCGGCAACAGCCTACGCAATTTCTCTTTTCACACTAAGAGTATAAAGAGCAATTATTAGAAAAGAATTGACTACTTAGGTGCATTCATATGGAGTGAGAACCACAGAACCCGTCTGAAAATGCAATTCCCTTTTTTGACCTCCTTCCTCATGTGTCTTGACAGCTTGACGTGTTCCACGAAGCTGTGGATAGAGTCCTGGAAGCTGCTCTACATCACGCTGCCTGAGATATCTTGACCAATCCAAGAAAGGCCGCGCAAAAAGCAGGAACACCCATCAATAACAACCATAGCTTTAGACAATATGTTTCTTCTCAAACTTCTGACAAAGGTAATTGATCTTTTGCTTTGTGTGGCTGTTGATGTGATACGGCATGGCAAAGAGGTCTTGTGCTTCTCTCATTTTTAATACTGCGGTAATTTGTGTACATCTATCGCTCTACTGACATAGGAGACATCTGGAAAGCAAGTATACGTTCACGGTTCTTTTGACTTCAAGTCCAAAGCCAACTCGGCCGGACCGTCACAAGGTGGCAAGGTCGTTGCGAAAGCGCCATTGCCCGATTTCATCAGCAAAATGGACATAAAGCTCGCTGACCGCAGTGGCGATGCGGGTGTGATGCTACGCGCATCGCATTTGGGCAACGGCCCCGACAGCTACAGAGTGTACTACGTCGGCATCAGTGCTGAGAACAATGGTTATGGCGCCCTCGAAAAATCGGATAATGCCTGGAGAGAGCTCGAACATGCACCAATGACCATTGATGCCGGCGAGATGTATACAATGAAGATCATGAGGGCAGCTAATGAGATTCCGGTTTTTGTGGGCGGCATAAGCACTCCCAAGTATACAGTGAGGGACAGGTCGTATTAAAGGGGTCTCTTTGAAGCTGGCGTCTACAGTACAGGCGCTTCTTTTGATAATATTGAGCTATCACCGGTCGTGTTTGACAATTTCGAAAAGAACATGGTTGGCTGGAAGATATACGATGGCAGATTCGACGCGAGCAACAAAGAACTTGGGGATAGTGATATTTTCAGGTTCAAGACGGTGCTGGAGACAACATTCCAAACCTTTATCCTCGAGGCGGATAACGTCCTCACCAAAGCAGGAGGTGGCGGCTTCATCTTTCGCGCTGCGCAGCTGGGCCCGGGCCCTAATGCTTATCACGGCTAATTGGCCGGCATATGCACCAGTGGGACGATCGTTCTTGGCCGTGCTGATGGTTCATGGAAAGAAGTTCAGACGTTCAGCAGAGAAAAACTGATATTGTGGCCAATAGGGTGTAACATGTCAAGATTCGAGCCGGTGGTGATTTGATGGAAGGTTATGTTGGAGACATGAGCACCCCCAAACTCACGTCAATGACAGGCTGTTTATGAATGGTGTGACCAGAGTGCGAAGACTTCCGGTCTGGTGATCAAGTGGGCAGCTTTAGGGTGCAAAAAGCTTATTAACGACCTGGTTAAGGCAAGGAAACCATGTGACATCAATGACATATGAAGGGTCAATTCTGACAAGGTAAGAGACAGGCAACTCAACTCGCCAGACATCTCTTTAATAAATTACTTCTATTTTAACACTCTACGATTTCTACGCGTTGCACGTCGTGTTTGACCCTTTGACGGTTGGACTATACAACCACCCTTTTACGGAACGCAACAGACGCCACCGGCACGAAGAGCTAATAGCTGTCCCTAGCTATCTAGTCTGACAGGGACTCGTGATAAGCCCACGACCCGATAAATAAGCTGCCGGGCCTCCTGAAGCTGCTAACGTAGTTATCAGAGCAGACATAGTAGACTTCGTCAGGCGGTCCGGTTAGAAGCTCGTAGCCGGGCTGTCGAAACCTTCGAGCCGGGCTCGATTGAGCATATGGAATTTGACGGCCTTCATGTTGGACACGATAGCAAGCTCGTTGCGCTTGGTCTCGCCAATGGTCTCTATCCAGCGATAATTACAGCTTTTGCTGCTGGCTACGATCTTAAGCCTACCGTAACTACCACTATTACCAAGCTGTCAGATCTTGCAGCTGCTGTTGGCTTTGATACCAATACAGCTGTTGGAGCCGCTGCTCTTGTTGGTTTAGCTCATTAAGGGCGACCAACGCGTTTGACGGGTTGGGCCGGGCCGGGCCGGAAGGTTATGACGGACTCGTTAAATTGAAGAAGACGGCCGCCGGAAGCAGCTAACAGTTAGCCGTGGCGGCTATTGAATTGAAAGGAAGGAAAAGAAAGGCTGTAGGAGGAGAAGGTCTACAGCGGCCGTTCTACGAGTTTCCCCGCGGCGAACAACTGCAGCAGAGATTTTAAGCTGTAGTGAACCGCGAAGGGACCTCCGAAGGCTCGCCGAATTTCCTGGGTGGAGGTTTCTCTAATATACAGGAGGGGAACTTTACCTGTATCTTGGACAAGACTTAAAAAACCGCGCAATGCGAGAGTAACGTAGCAGTTGGCAAGTAGGCAACGTGAGAAGTTTCTCTCTAGTATTAAAACCGGAGCATATTTAATTAGAACCCAAGAGAGCGGACAAGGATAGTGAGCCTGCAAGGGGCCGTGGAATGACCCGGAAGCCACGTGTAGTATGATCTTATCTTATCAATCTATTACATGTTTACGATTCATGGACTGCTCTTACCCACTTATTTCCCTCATTTGTATGGTTGCGCTACGTATGCTCCATAAAAGGTCCAATATTGCCAAGAGCAGACTACAATATTAGGAAAGACTTTTGAGATAGAAGACCGAAGCACAACCTCAATAAAACCGAGTATATCCTTTGCGCTTGAGTAATGCAACCTCTGCTAGATCTATACACTTCCCTCCTTTCATTTTCACCCTTGTCTGAGCGCTCTTGTCAAGGCCTTGTTTGAAATTCTGAATAAGTGAATTGAATTGCTCGTCTCAATATCGCATACGGTGCCTTCAACCTGGTCTGCCTTCCGCTTGCAAATAGCCCCGGAAGCTACTGGCTACTATCAGCCTGAGCTCGCGAAAGTGAACAAACACCTGATGCTCACCAGCCTTGAATAATGTTTACATGGATGCTACCGCCTCAAAGTGGGCGCTCACGGACATTGTTTGCCGCATGACAATCAAATGTGTGGAGTACGGCGGCTCTCATATCAAGTTACAGAACAGAGCTAGCTTCTAGTTACTGCCGAGACTTCCACTTTTAGTCATGTCTCTGTTCTCCCTGTCAACTGACGTAGAAATCAGTACACGGTCCACGCATCACCTTTACGGCCGACCCCCTCTCCAGATTTCCCAGTTGCCCTGCATCGGGGTGGACAGTGTGGTATTGTTTCTTGGTAATTCAGACCCAGTCCAATCACCTCATGGACAACCACTCCATCAAGATAGACCATGGCTTGGGATCTCTGGGCCGTCATACGCCTCTCTTGCACAGTCTAGGGGGGCAAGAGAGGAATACGTGTGCGGCTAGATGGAGGACGATATACTCCGAGCAATCCGTAACTGCCGCTAGACATATGAATGTTCTCTAGCCTCGTGGAGAAATAAACTCCACTAGAGAGGACGCCGAGTCAAGTCAATAGTAGAATAGATAGTGTCGCATTTTATTATTGTAGAACACACGTTACATTTGCCCCATTTTATGTATTTTAGCTACTTCAAATATGATAATCATGGAGGAATCATATTACTTCAATAGCGCTCACAGATCTCACATACGATTTCTCCACATTTGCGCGTTATTAAAAGCAGTAAGCTAGTCATGTATACAATACCCCCCTGTATATCATTGATAGTCTTTAGTAATAAAATTGAGCAATCATTATTGCATCATCTTATTATTGGGGCTCAGCATGAATCAGGCAGTGTCTATATGTGTCCTCCTTCATAGTAACGTGTAGATAAATAGGCGTTATATCTCGTTGTTTCAGTTGATCCTGTCTCTTCACTTCTCCCTATATCTTCAACTTCAATTTTTGAAATAGCCTTGAATCTCCGTCATCTCCGTCTAGGCCATGCGTTCTTTCACGGTATCTGCTACTGTGGCTATCGCCCTGGCGTCTTTCGCCAACGCAGCTCCTATTAGTCCGATCCCGGGGTTGACCGAGCTCCAAGCCTGGGAAACTATCTTTTCTGACCCAAATGTTAACCGGACAGACTATGGACTTTCTCAGGCTGAGCAGCACGAGCGATATAGGGAGAGCTGCCACAAAGTTTGCGGTAAAGTGCTAACTTTTTACTGTCTTGCAACAGCAGCCTCTAATATGTAATATAATAGGTATGGTCATTCAGCTTATCGCCAAGGAAGGCTGCGACTCTGGTTGGGAAGGACACGAGAAAAGTTGCGAAACTTGCTTTTACAATCGCTTCAAGGATGGCTCTGAATTCAGGGAAAAGTGGGGAAATGGCTTGAAAAAAGCTCTCGGCATGTGCGGTGTCCAAATCCCCGACGAAATCCCTGAAGAAAAAGACGCCGACGGGTGCCTTGTTGAAAAGCCAAGTACTGCAAAGCCCGATGTTGCAAAGCCAGATACCGAGAAGGCAGATACTGAGAAGCAAGATACTCAGAAGCAAGATACTAAGAAGCAAGATACTGAGAAGCAAGATACTCAGAAGCAAGATACTCAGAAGCAAGATACTGAGAAGCAAGATACTCAGAAGCAAGATACTCAGAAGCAAGATACTCAGAAGCAAGATACTCAGAAGCAAGATACTCAGAAGCAAGATACTCAGAAGCAAGATACTCAGAAGCAAGATACTCAGAAGCAAGATACTCAGAAGCAAGATACTCAGAAGCAAGATACTCAGAAGCAAGATACTCAGAAGCAAGATACTCAGAAGCAAGATACTCAGAAGCAAGATACTCAGAAGTTCAGCCGCTCAGAAGCCGGATGCTGAGAAGCCGGATGCTGAGAAGCCAAGTGCTGAGAAGCCAAGTGCTGAGAAGCCAAGTGCTGAGAAGCCAGGTGCTGAGAAGCCAGGTGCTGAGAAGCCAGGTGCTGAGATGCCA